TCGCAATAATCCGAATCAAGAGGAGAATGAACGGGAAAAGGATAATGTCAACATAACTATCCCTCCTGTCAACAACAATAACGGAGGCGGTCCTTCGGATGATAATGGGAAGGAGGACCATGTTACCTCTCCCAGAAACCACTCGAAGACAGATGTGAGTGAAGACAAGAAAATGAAGGATTTGGAGAGCAAAATCAACGCGTTGATGAATGCTCAAGAAGTGAAGAAGTCTGGCATACCATGTCCATACCCAAGGGAATGGGAATCAATTCCATATCTGGCAAAGTTCAATTTAATTAACTTCACGTCGTTTGATGGAAAGGGTTCCCCTACCCAACACTTGATATATTTTAAGTCTCACTTAGGAATAATCTCCGGCAATGAACCCTTAATGGTGCGGTCATTCGTTGGCACTCTTCGCGGAGCAGCCTTCGATTGGTATCGTCGCCTCAAACCGGGGAGTATCAGTAGTTAGGATGATATAGAGGATATGTTTCTGACGAACTTCTTTGACGACGACACCGAGATCTCAATCGGCACTCTATTTGACGAGAAGCAGAAGAATGGTGAGACAGTCGAAAACTTCGTGAAGAGATTCCGAAACAAAGCAATGAATTGCAGGGATCCGGTCAGTGAAGACTTTATCCTCGAGACTTGTCACAATAACCTTTCATTGGACATCCTCGAAGCTATGGGAATGGTACCGCCAAAGACCTGGAAGGATTTAAAGGTGCGAGGAGAACGAGCCGAGCGATTCCTTAAAAGGAAGAAGGTGGAAAGGGGCCAAATAGCTAATAATGCCCCGCAACAGAACTTTGTCCCTAAGGGAAAAGCACATGCGAATGCTGTGGACGCGAATCAAACATTCAAGGTGCAAGCGCAACCGCAACAGCAGCAACAAAAGGCGCCTCAACAATCAAGGTCACAACAGTAATCCCGAAGGCAGCAAAAGACTTCGGAACCGAAACTCCAAAAAGAGTATTCCTTCAAGGACGAAGACGTTCCAGCCATCTTCGAATCCCTCCTTGAAAACAACAAGATCAAGCTACCACCTATCGTCAATCAGGAGGAAGCTGACAATACTACGGATCCGAAGTACTGCGGGTACCACAGGAGGATCCTTCATCCCACCAAGGATTGCTTCGCTCTCAAGAATAGCATCCAAACATAAGTATAAGAGTATAAACTGCTTCTTAAAACTCCGACAAGTATAAGAGTATAAACTGCTTCTTAAGACTCCGACAAGTATAAGAGTATAAACTGCTTCTTAATACTCCGAAGAGTATACGAGTATAAACTGCTTCTCAACACTCCGAAGAGTATACGAGTATAAACTGCTTCTTAACACTCCGACAAGTATATGAGTATAAACTGCTTCTTAATCCTCCAATCGGTATATGAGTTTAAACTGCTCCCTGATACTCCAATAGGTATATGAGTCTAAATTGTTTCCTACCATTGATGGGAAGTTCCTGGAGAATGTTACGCTAATATTCTTAAGGATAACCCAAACATGTAACGGAGTACAAAGTCAGACCCAGTTCCAAGAAAGAAGCTGGGGTGGATGAGTCATGTAATGGGAAGTTCCCGGAAGAACACTATATGTAATAACCCGATAATTACGAACAAGGTGATAAACATTAAACCCTCACCATAATTTGTACTCCCACTCTCACTGTCTACCTGGTCAAACCTTCATACAGTTAGGACCACAATCAAAATCCCCTCTCGATTCCTCCAATGAACGAGAGGTCCACAAATCGAGCGATCAAACCTTCCTACAGTTAGGATCGCCTCAAACCTCCCAAAACCTTCCTACAGTTAGGACCAAAACCGCAATTCACTCTCGATAAACGAGAAATTCATCTTTAGTTCGGTAATCAAACCTTCCGACAGTTAGGGTTATCTGAATCTTTTTGATTCTCGGAGTGGAGATCCCACTCTTAGTTTCACCTTTCCGGATTCTAGGGGTGGAGATCCCACCTCGAGTCTCCTTTCCAGCTGAAGATAGAATATAAAATTCTTCTTTCTCAATATCGGGAGATAGAATATAAAATTCTTCCTCTCCCATTTCGGGTTTGTCTTCGCCCCAAGAGAAGACACCATTTTTTTCAACTCCCAAAATCTGTGCCTCACAGGTACGGAGAATTTTATCCCGAATCCTAAGTAGGGATAAGTCAACACCTAACACGCGTTGCCGGTTTAGTCTTTTACCGATTGAAAAAGACACCAGAATCCAGTCTGGGGAATTTTATCCCGAAGCCTAAGCAGGGATAAGCCAACGCCTAACACGCATTGCCGGTTTAGTCTTTCACCGATTGAAAAAAGACACCAGAGTATAATTCTGGGGACTTTCATCCCGAATCCTAAGTAGGGATGAGTCAATGCCTAATACGCGTTACCGGTTTAGTCTTTCACCGATTGAAAAAGACACCAGAGTACAATTCTGGGGACTTTCATCCCGAATCCTAAGTAGGGATGAGTCAACGCCTAATACGTGTTGCCGGATGCCATGTTCCCGTAAGAAATGACGAAGTTTATGTATTCAAAATCATAGCATTAAGTCTAAGAGAAGCAATTCTCTTAGCACAACGTTACATGTGAAACGGGTTTTAATAATTCACATGCTAGCCCGATTCAAACGGTAATCGGTAAAGGCACGTCAAACCCGTTGATGGCCGGGGGTTTGCCAAAAATCCCAAAGCCTATGTCTAAAAGTAAGGATAAGTCAGCGTCTAACACGCGTTGCCGGGTAGTCTATTCCCGTGAGAAAGACGAAGTCTACGTATTCAATGTCGTAGCACTAAAAGAGTTAACTCTTTTAGCACAACGTTATGTGCAGAACGGATCTAAACAATCTGCATGCTAGCCCGACTCAAACGGTAGTCGGTAAAGGCTCATCAAACCCGTTGATGGCTGAGAATTTGCTAAAAATTCTATAAGTGCGAGTCATTGGTGCATCAGCTCTGTTAGTTGGTCTCGTGACTCGATTATCCAACAACATTAAAATAAGATCCACAAATGCAGATGAATCAGCTTTAATAGTTGGTCCTGCAACTCCGACACTTGGGACCGCCGTGCTCCAATACCTTAAGAGCTTAAACTGTGTATACTCCAGTAAACGTACGAGTATAAACTGTGTCAACGTACGACGTTCGAAACCCGAGGGTCAACGCCGGTCAACCGTCAACGCGTAACCCTAGGTAAACGCCAGTCAACGCGTTGTGACCAAAAAGTCAACATTCGACGTTCGAAACCCTAGGGTCAATGCCGGTCAACGCGTAACCCTAGGTCAACGCCGGTCAACACGTTGCGACAAAAAGTCAACATTCAACGTTCAAAACCCTGGGGTCAACGCCGGTCAACGCGTAACCCTAGGTCAACGCCAGTCAACGCGTTGCGACAAAAAGTCAACATTCAACGTTCGAAACCCTAGGGTCAACGCCATGTCAACGCGTTGCGACAAAAAGTCAACATACGGTGATCTGAAACCCTAAGTCAACGCAATGTGACAGAGATAGTCAGTCCAAAGTCAATGACACGAGCCAAACTCAACTCACTGGTGATAGACTCAAGACTCCGACGACGGCCAGACGATAAACGCAGCGCCGGAAGAACTTCGGCTATTCGTCAAAGCATGGAATAGACCGAAAATCGAAGGAGTCAAGAGTTGAAGCTAACTACAGGTCCTTTACGCTGACTGAAAGCTAGACCAATCACATCCAAAGTATTCCAGCCTCTTCTATAAAAGAAACGAGTCCGGAACGCTTTGGAGGGGGTATCTGTAGGCATCGAAAATTGTCTATAGGTCTCCACGAACAGCTCAGTGTTAAGGAATGACGATGAACGTCACTATCCGGTTCACAGGAGTTCGATTGATGTCGATGAATGCTTAAAGTAAATCGACGAACTACGTGAACTAACGAAGGTACGGGCTAATCGGGAGCCCCGCAATGTTTACAAAAGGAACAATGCCCTTCATGCCTCATTCATTCTACAGATGATCCAACCATCGGAGCTTATAAAACACCTCGTCGGCTTTCCAATGCACTTCGAATCACTCAAATCCGAGTTCGGACGAAGGAATTACAGCGGAAACCGTCAAAAAACACCAAAAGGAGTGTCTCGGACCAACGAGACACCCTTCGGTGTCTCGGCTAAGGCCGAGACACCCTTGGGTGTATTGGCCCAAACCGAGACACCCTAGGGTGTCTCGGATCAATGGGAGACACCCTAGGGTGTCTCCGAACAAGTGGAGACACCCTGGGGTGTCTCCAAGGCAGATTTGGGCTTTTAAGCGTTTTTAACCGCTCCGTTATCCCCTCAAGCCTATAAATACAAGCCTTAGGCCTTATTTTTTCAAATCTGGATTTTTTAGAGAATTGGCGAAGCCCTGCCGGACTGAAGAGTGATTTAGCACTTCAACGCAAGAGAGTTCTTCGTTAGATCTATATCACCCGTACCCGATCCTTAGTATTATCCCGTTGTGGTAATATTAAGAAGAGCAAATATCTCGCTTTTATCGAGATAGGCGCTTCAAGTTTCTAGATCTTCTCGCGGATCGATGAAGCTCTGGATCAGATCTGATTACCAGGTAGTCCACGGATATCAACATCCCCGTCACAGGCTAAAGACCCACGCAAGCAAGAGACGACGAACGGATCTTGTGTTTATTTTCAAGAAAGTTGTAATTTTTATTTATTTGTTTTTTGAATTCATTTGTAACGTTTGAAGTTTTAATGAAATCAATGATGAAGGCAACTTTCAACGAAAACACTCACAACTCCCACTGCATGGGCAATATCTGACCTCGTGCAGACCATTGCGTACATCAGACTACTAATGACTGATGAATACGACACCTTCCTCATATGCCCCTTCTCTGCATCAGTTTTGGGTGATTGTTCACCAGACAACTTGAACTGGCTTCCAAGGGACGTGCTAACGACCTTAGCATTCTGCATGTTGAATCTCTGAAGTGCTTTCTCAATGTATTCAGACTAACTCAACTTCAACGTCCCCTCAGCCGCATCTCGGCTGATCCGCATCCCAGGAATTTGCTTCGCTGCACCCAGATCTTTCATGGCAAACTCCTTTGCTAACTGCTTCTTCAGCTTGTTTATCTCCTGTAAACACGGTCGTGCAAATAACATGTCATCGACATACAGCAATAACACGATATAGCTGGACTCGAACCTCTTGAAGTAACAGCAATGATCTGAATTGCATCTACCACAGCCATTGCTCTGCATGAAGTTATCAAACTTCTTATACCACTGCCGTGGAGCATGTTTCAATTCGTATAAGCTCTGCTTGAGCCTACACACCATCTCTTCCTTTCCTTCTTCAATGAAGCCAACAGGTTGCTTCATGTAGATTTCTTCATCCAAGTCGCCATGAAGAAAGGCAGTCTTCACATCTAACTGTTCAAGGTTGAGATTTTCAGCAGCTACCAAGCTCAACACCACCCTGATGGTTGTGAGCTTCACAACGGGAGAAAATATCTCTGTATAATCCACTCCTTCCCGCTGTTGGAACCCCTTCACGACTAATCTAGCCTTGTATCTTTTCTTTCCATCACTCTCCTGCTTGACTCGGTAAACCCACTTGTTATGTAAGGCCTTCTTCTGTGCAGGTAGCTGGGCTAACTCCCATGTCTCGTTCGAGTGGAGAGAATCCATCTCTTCTTGCATTGCATGCTCCCACTGTTGAGATTCTCTCACTTGCATAGCCTCCTCATAGCATTCTGGTTCTCCACTATCTGTCAAAAGTAGGTAGTCTAGTGACGAGAGATACCTGGGATTCGGTTTGGGTACCATGGATGATCTCCTAAGCTCCTCGCCCTAGGTAGTCGGTTCTGCAACTGGAGTCTCCTCCGTACTTTGGTCAGAATCGACGTTGTCTCCCTCATCTGGAAGTTCCTCCAAGTCCATGTACTTGGATGTGTCTGCATTCGTAGTGTTGCTCCCACTGCTTTGGCCCGCTTTTGCATTGTCCCTGTCCTTGTACATCACTTCCTCATTGAATATGACGTCTCGGCTTCTGATGATTTTCCTGTTCTTCTCATCCCACAGACGATACCCGAACTCATCAATGCCGTACCCAATGAATGTACACTTCAATGACTTAGCTTCTAGCTTGTCCCTGACATGGTCACTGATGTGGACATATATCACGCACCCAAAGACTCTTAAGTGTGAGAGATTAACTTTCTTACCACTCCAAACCTCTTCCGGAATCCCAAAGTTCAATAGAACTGATGGTCCGTGATTTATCAAGTACGCTGCTGTATGCACCGCGTCCGCCCAAAAAGTTTTTGGTAGACCTGCATGTAGACGCATGCTCCTCGCACGCTCTGTCAGCGTTCTGTTTATTCTTTCTGCTACGCCGTTCTGTTGTGGCGTCCCTGGAGTAGTCCTCTCCAAACGAATCTCGTTCAGAACACGGAACTTCTTGAACTCCTCCAAATTATATTCTCCACCATTGTCTGATCTCAGACACTTCACTTTCAGATCTGTCTCGTTCTCCACCATGGATTTCCACTTCTTAAAGATGTTGAACACCTCTGACTTGTGCTTCATGAAGTATACCCACACCTTCCTCGAGTGATCGTCAATAAAGGTGATGTAGTACGCCGAACCGCCAAGAGAAGACACGCTAGCTGGACCCCATACAGCTTTAGGTGGTCTTCCACCCTTCAGAAAACTAACTCTCTTCTGCTTCCTGAAGATGCAGTCTTCGCAAACACCGACTTCCACCGAATCAATGCCAATTAGCTTTCCTTCTGAGTGTAGAATCTTCATACCCTTCTCACTCATGTGTCCCAGCCTATTATGCCATAGATCTGCACTCTCCTTGTCTGCAGCAATCGCGAGTGTGTCACTAGCGTGTGAAGTTTGGTAGAGGGTACCGGTCTTGTTACCACGGGCAACCACCATTGTACCGTTAGAGATTTTCCACGAATCTCCGGTGAATGTTGTAACATAGCCTTCTTCTCCAAGCTGACCTACCAAAATAAGATTCCTCTTCAACTTCGGTACGTGTCTGACATTCTTCAGAGACCACTTAGAGCCCTTCAACTGTATTTACACGTCGCCTCTCCCAATTACACTACAGGGTTCATTATCCCCCAAGTATACTTTTTCAAAGTCCCCTGCTACATAGTTCTGAAATAGCTTTCTATTAGCAGTGGCGTGGAATGAGGCTCCCGAATTAATAACCCATGAATCGGAATCACTATCCATAGCGAGAATCAGCGCATCTTGCACAATATGAGCCTCCTGCTCATTTTTCTTCGGTGCTTTACAGGTAGAAGACATGTGGCCCTCCTGACCGTAGTTCCAACATTTGCCCTTAATAGGTCTCACCTTCGAGTTCGACCTCTTTTTTTTCAACTTCGATCGATTCCTGTTTTGGTTCTCCCTATTATGACTTCCGCCTCTCTGCTCGAGACTTAGGGCTGAACCTGAACCTTCTGATTCATTCGATTTTCTTCTAACCTCCTCGGATAGAATCATAGCTACTACCTCCTTCAGCTTCAACTTCTCCTTCCCTGCCGAGTTGCTTATTGCGGTCACGCAACCTGCCCAACTATCCGACAACGGCGATAGTATCAATAGGGCCTGCACTTCGTCATCGAACTTGATGTCGACTGAGATAAGTTGATCAACAATCGTGTTAAACTCGCTGAGATGCATTGTGAAGGAACATCCTTCTGCCATCTTGAGGTTGAATAGCGTCTTGACGAGATGCACCTTATTTGAAGCTGACAGTTGCTCGTACATCGTTACGAGCGCTTTTATAAGTCCTACCGTCGTCTTCTCCTTTAATATATTGTGTGCTACAAATTTTGCGAGGGTCAATCGGACCTGCCCCAAGGCTTTTTGATCCAATATTTCCCAGTCTTCGTCGAATTCTTCTTTCTTCTTTCCTTTTGCTTTACCCATCAACGGACGGTAAAGATCCTTTTGGTACAGATAGTCCTCCATCTGTGACTTCCAGTAGGCGAAGTCTGATCCGTCAAACTTCTCAATTTTTGATTTGCCTTCTTCTGCCATTTCTTACACACACAGATCTGAACAATGGCTCTGATACCAGTTGTTGGGGAAATATCAGATACGCTTCGACACCCGTTCTGCGGAATTTGCCCTACCGGATCTTGTGTTAAGCAATGGAAAAAAAATCACTATAAATCAAAAATAATTGTAAGAACAGAGAACACCAAATTTTAACGAGGTTCGGCAACTTGCCTATGTCCTCGGGAGTCACACAAACAATTTCCTTTATATTAAAGAATGTTACAAAGCTTGTAAAAGAGTAGATCTCAAACTTGAGATCTCTCAAAAGAAGAGCCAAACAGAAACTCTCTGTTGTTCAAATAAAAGGCGCAAGATTTTACAACAGTAAAATCTCCTCTCTCTCCTCAATAAAACGCTACAGGAAACAGGAGATTTTTCCTCTAAAAAAATTCTCCTTTGAAGCTCTGCTTTAGTGGCCGCCGCCAGAATAAATGAGATGAGAAGAAGAGAAAACGGGGCAACTGCTTCTCGTGCTCTGGTTCCTTTAAATAGGGAAACCCTAGGGCTGAGAGGGAGTAGGATCCAGCTGGATCCAACACAGCTCGCAGGCGAAATTTCGCCTTCGCCTCCAACGTCCGCAGCAGGCGAGAGTCCCTCTTCACACACAGGCGATCTCCACACCTGTTCGAGCTCAAATCCGCCTGCAACCATCTCGCCTGCAAGGGGGAGGGGTCTCGAATCCGCCTTCAGCAGCCGCTCGAAATCCGCCTGTTCGAGGACCGCTCGAAAAACTCGCCTGAAGCTCTTCTCGCTCGAGTTCGCCGATTGGACCTCACCCGAAGTCCATCGATCTCGCCAACAGGGCATCTCCCTCGCCTGTTCGAGATCCGCCCGAGCCTTCTCTAACTCAATTTCGCTGAAGCTCGCCTCGTTCGTCGCTGATAAGGTAAGGGGCTACACTCATTTCCAACAAAATGTACCTATTATGTGTGTATTGTTAAAACAATAGAATGAATATCTTTGAGATAAGTTAGACATAGGAATGTAGAAGAAAACATTTCTTTCCTACTTCGAGATTAATATTTTGATCGAAAGGCTAAATGGCACTTAAACACCACAAAGTTTACGTTTTGGCACTTAATTAACCCAAGCATCTGTTATTTTATTTTTTTTACGACACTTAAATACCATGAGTTTCACGAGTTTAGTACACTTATACTTTCTGTTAGTCATATGTGAGAATATTTTATAAACTATTCTCATATGAACATTCTCACGTGTCTATCACATGACAGATTTAGTTCCTCTTTAACCTTATTAATGGCTAAAATTATTGTTTCTACCTACCCCCCAACAAATTTAAAAATTCTATCATTTAATTTGAAACCCAATATCCTAATTGAATCCCTCTTTCTCCTACATTTTCTACAGGCAGCCATGAAATAGAGCTCTAGTGCTTCATCTCCTCCTTCAAGTTACAGAATTGGTGAAGAGAGGAAGACTAGAGTTTACTATTATAAGGTACAGACCAATTTTGGAGACAACTTGGACCATGAAGAATTATATATGGTGGACGGTTTTTGGATATCCAAAAAATACAAATTTTTTGATTAAAAACTTAGTTCTTTATCTCCCAGTGCTCAAATAATGATTAGGAAGTTATTATGTGAAAAAGATGACTCTAAGAAAGGGGTTAACGGTGGTGATGTGGAGAAATTGAAAATAATGGAAAGAAATTTGAGAGACAAGAAGATGAAAGTTTGATAGTTGGGCAGTATTAGCTCCTAATTAATTTGTCTTCTTGCATGCTAAAAGGGACTTTGTGTGGATCTAAAGCCAGATTTGAGACAAATCAACTAACAAGTTACTGAAGACTAGTCTCAACAGTTGGACTTGCTTGATGGAAAACCAGTTCTCATTAATGCTTCTCATTAAGAAAGAAGAAAATAAAGGTCTTGGGCAAATGAGGACGCTTTACTTTTTAATGGGTAATAATGCGTCTGAGGCATTTCTTTGATGCCATCACCTTCAAAAATAAAAATAAAATAAAATAAAGGTCTTATACATAATTGAATCATCCTAGCTACTAGCTAGTTTAAGGAGGGATACTCTTTCATAATCATTGGCATTGCAACGCCAGGCATTAACCCTCATAAGCAAATATAGAACATATGACCTCTCTCGTAGTCATAGACACTGAATTAACTGAGCTAATTTGATGAAGGGTAAATTTCGTAATACCCTCGAGAAATTGACTTATTTTTGAGATAACCCTCAAAAAAGTTTTAAAATGTCAATTAACCCCAAAACTTTTGTAGTTTTGTGAATTTTATTTTTTAGATAACCTCCAACTAGGGATGTCAAATGGGTGGTTTTGGTTGGGTCTTGGTTGGGCCATAAATGGGTGGGCACATTTATGACTACTTGATCATTTATGGCCCATTTAACATTTGCTAAATGGGTCACTTCTCAACCACCCATTTACTAAATGGGTGATTCATGGGTGACCCAATAACCCATTTAGTTATGATTATGATGCTTCTATATATATGTAAGTTTCAGGGATCTACTTGCAAACTTTCAGGGTTTTTTTGGCAAACTTTCAGGGGGGTTTTGCAAACTTTCAGGCGGTTTTTATAAACTTTCAGGGGGGTTTTTGCAAACTTTTAGGGGTTTTCTGTGAACTTTCTGGGGGGTTTCTACAAACTTTCAGGGGGTTTTCTGTAAACTTTTAGGGGGTTTTCTGTAAACTTTTAGGGGGGTTTTCGCAAACTTTCATGGGGTTTTCTATAAACTTTCAGGGGTTTTTCTGTAAACTTTTAGGGGGTTGTCTACAAACTTTTAGGGGTTTTATGTAAACTTTCAGGGGGTTTTCTGTAAACTTTCATGGGGTTTTCTATAAACTTTCAGGGGTTTTTTTGTAAACTTTTAGAGGGTTTCTACAAACTTTCAGGGGGTTTTCTGTAAATATTTTTTTCTCAATTGAATCGACTACTTGGAAAAATTAGGACAGAATTGTGAGCAAAAGAAGCAAATGATGACGGGACTGAGCAAAAGAAGAGATGGACTCGTAACAAGTCTAGTCTACTGCTTGCTCGGTTATTTAAAAAAAGCTCATACTTTGGTCATGTGTCAAAATTTTTAGAATAACGGAGTACCCTCAACATTTAATTCAGTTCTTCTTCATCTTAGGGTCAAATTAGGACAAAGCAAAGAAATGACAAAATATCTTCAGAAAACCCCACCTTGCACGGTTTACAAAACCACACTACCTAACAGCTCTATTTGATAAAAACATCCTACCTAAATTTGGCTCTAAAAACCCACGCACCACACATTCCATAAAAAAATCCTAACTAAATCTTTTTGTTGTCTAAATTTGTCAACAAAATATGGTAAAAATATCACGTCCCACTCCGAGGATCTTAAAAATCCTGCACCTCCTTAGCCTTGCGTGAACTGCTTTGAGAGAGATGGTGTTTTTCTTTCCTTTGTTCAAAATCCATGAGCTATGAGCGTAATTGTTCATTTCTTCATATTTGTTGTTGGTTAAAGTCTATTATTTTTTTCCATGTTTGTTCTTAATTACAGAGTGTCCCCAAGTAATTCTCCTTAAAAAATTTTATCACGCCGGATAACAATACACGCCCTCTTTCTCTCCTGTTTCTCGCGCAATAGACGCAAGTTTTGCAAATTACACTTGGCTGCACACGCATATATCTCCTGCCGACGAAGAATTGTGAGCGCCTACTTTTTATATTTATATATCCTTGAGAGTGTTTTTTGCAATTTTTAAAAGTTTAAGGGTGTTACTTGCAAATTTGATATTTATAGGGGACTACCGAAAATTTTTAGATTTCATGTGTCATTTGCAAGTTTAGAAAATTCTAAGATTGTTTTGTAGTTTTGAACTCTAGAGG